TTACCAATTTTTAAAAACTACAACAACAAATTACTATGAGGAAACACCGGTAGCTAATGATACAAAGAGGGTTTACATTGTGACCATGACCTCGTGAAGTAGGAGGATAAACGAATAACAACAACAACAACAATATATAAGGGAGATGCATAATATCCAGATGACAGATGGGTTAGACGAAGGGTTTGACATTTGGGACGAGTTAACAGCCAATTGCCTATTAACTAGTAATTAATACCCTACACTAATAAAACGGTATACCTGTCTACTATAATCGATATAATACATGTTAATACTAGTATTAGTAGTATTGTATTGAGCATTGCAATCACTCTGACGCTGAGAGGGTCTATATGTCCCCCAGGGTACTGCCGGAACGTAGGCCTACCCTGGTACTAGCAGTATCTAATATGCCGGACCGTACCTCGCCTACTCCACTAACGAGTCTAGGGAGTCGCCTAGCCACAAGTTCCCATCTCGCTTAACACTACGTGGCGAGAGGCACGTCCTCCGTCGTGCCACGTCCTCCGTGAGAGAGCGCCACGTCCTCCGTGAGAGAGCACCACGTCCTCCGTCGTGTAACAGTCGGAGAGCATGGTCGGTTTAGGGAGTCGCCTACACCTACTCACTAACCCTAACCCTAACCATATCAGATAGTTACCAGGGTACGTTTCGGCAGTACCCTGGGGGACATAGACCGTATGACCCACTCTGACTCTCATAAACACTCACATTCACAAAAAGTAGAATTCACTATTTTAAGAGTAAAGTACAAATTTTATTCCTAATTACTACTTGCAATTTACAGCAAATGTCAAGGTGTAATTCAAATTGGGTGAATTAAAATTCATTACAGTTTGAATTGCATATAAATTTGTAAGACATATAGGAAGACTTTCTCACCTCTTTCCTGCGTTCCGCTTTGCCGGGTTTCGTGAGGAGAGCAGTGCCGTTAATGACAACAGCTGTATCCTCAACAAAACAGGAATCGGGAAGGGTCTCATCTTGTGGCAGTTCGATCACGTCCACGCCCAACTTGCGAAGCGTTGCCACGAACAACTCGTGTTCCTCTCTCGCCTTGGTAATGTCGAGCTCACCCTCATTGGCATTTTCACTGGCCGACTTCGTGATACTTGAAGGAACCCGACAAACAACAGCGTGAGTGTATCTACTCGCCATTTTAGCTGCTACAAAGGCGGCAATCTTCAATCGCAGTGCGGGAGGAGGATTTTCTGCCGCCAGAACCGAGTGTTGGCGAACGTTGCCGAAACTGGTTTCGGGGATAGGTGCAGCGCGCGTTGCGCGGTGGAATGGTGTGTGCGGCACCCATAGAAATATATAGAGACATGCTTACATAGCGACTACCCATGTTATTTCTACCACTCTCTGGATTGTGAAATTGACCGAATCGCCGCGTGTGGCGCGAACAAGAAAACAGATATATCAATCACACGGAAAAATCAATTACGTTGTACGGCAGGGCAACAAACCCGACGCGTTTACTTATAGAATATAATACCAAAGCTAAATACAATTTACACCCGTATCGGTTTTAACCGATATTACACTATAAATTAAATAACAAATTACAAAATAATTCGTAAGCGCTTTAAACATCGGATAGAGAGGTTGATAGAACATAGAAAACCTATATCATCTCGTCGATTTTTCCATGCTAAACCCAGCTTATTGTGAACGCTGATAATATAGATTTGAATGCACAGGTAGTGCAACAAAAGTAACATATGTATATAAACAAGATATATGTACAGGAGTACATGAATTCCCTATTCGTCATATTTGATGTTAGTTCTCTGTTCATTAACTTCTGATCAAATCAGACGCAATACCTTGTGATACGCTCAGGCGCGCAAATCCATTTTGAAATGTGGGGGGGACACCAGTAGCGAACACGCGAAGGGGGAAAAATTTAAAAGTTATTACCCCTCCAGATGCGTTTTCCTGGCCGAGCAGGGGGGGCGGCCCCCCCCCCCTGTGCACCCTGCACGCAGACATCACACACACACACACAACACACACAACACACACACACACAAATACACACACACACACACACACACACACACATGCCATTTGGCTTTTGTTGTGTATTAAGGATTCACCGAAAAGCGGTGTCCAACATGCAGTCCATAACATCAAGAAAACAAAAACAGAAAACCAATCATTTGTGTTTGAGACTGCATCACTAAAAAGAATTGCGTCCCGTTATTATTGTTGGTCCACGTCTATACATATTATCGCGTGTTATATATATCATCAATTTGCACTGGAATCTACATTATTAAAACCGGGATGCTCAGTTACTCCATGTCCTCTTTGCGTGAGATATAGTCGTGTTCCCCAGCTTAATCTCTTGAATCAGTGTCCGTTAATGTGAGTGAATATCTCCCAAACTTCCATAAATCATACTTTCTCTTAGCATGATTTCTTGCCATAGAATATTTTTAATATAAGAAAAAAAACGCTGTTAAAAAAGAAACGGTACTAAATTTATCAAGACACATTTTCTCAAGTTTGGCATGATTATTATTATGCTCTCAAATGCACTTGAATAAGAAATGAAGCTGCGAAAAAAAGGGAAGAGAAGCCAATCGTTGACGCACTATCACACAATAAAAGGTTCTCACTTCACAAACACACATCATCACGCTACGCACGTGCACTGCACGCACGCACGAACAGCACGCAAACTGCACGCACGCTACACACAGCACCACACATACATCTACAAAACACAAAATCATCGCGCCGACCCAAAATCCGTGACGGCGCCCGGGCGGACATTCGATATGATGTCTCTGACAAATTCGTCTGGGACATATCTCCCTGTCCCCCCTGATACGCTATGTGATACATTGCGTGTGTGCGTGTGTGCGCGCGCCTGCGCATGCTTCAGTTTGCGTGCGTCTGTGCATGCTTCAGTGTGCGTGCGCGTATATGACCACAAGTGTATATGTGTGTTACCGTGATTATATAAGCGCCTTTATATAATACTTTACTCTAGGTTCGCGGGATATTTTCAGTTAAAATATAGGTTATAAATACGCTACATGAAAAGTTTTATGCTTTCTACTTCTAGTACTAAACAGATAGAGGCTGTATGCTGTAGTGTAATGTAGTGTGTAGCGTACTACATCAGAACATATGGTAGTACATTGGTACAGATTTTGTCACATTTCACGAAGCTTCGTTCACTAAAAGTTCCCCGTTAAATAACAAACCTAAATTAAAACTAAAAGCCATCAAAAAAATCACATACATCTTTTTTACGATAACCAACCTACTTTATATTATCAGCGTTTTCAACACTTGTTACAAAACATCAGGAGTAGATAATAGGAGTAGATAATATCCCTATTATCTACTCCTGAAAACATGCATGTACAAAAACAAAGACATATCCTGCCTGCTGGATACACCATTAAATACAAGTAGACATTTCTTGACAATATTTTGAACTATTGATTGAATTCGAAAATCTTTGACTCTCTGACGCTCTAGAATCATAAAGCCATATAAAATGCACACCTTCATGCAATCAGCATATATTGATGAAAAGGGGGCAGCACTATCCAGTGCGCCAGCGCGATCGGCCCCCGACCAGCCAGTGAATTTTACAGCACTGGTATCACATAATATGTGAAGGGGCACTGACACTTGGCAATGACTGCATTCAGCAATTTCCGCATCGATTTAACCACTCGCATAGTCACAACACAAACCCCTTTGTACTGCTGAAACGAGCAAGCAAAGAAACGAGACCTCAATAGGGAAATGCTGTACAGAACAATATACCAATTTTGAGTTGGCACAAAGATATGTTATACCAAGTGAATTTGGCTAGGTTCCTGCATTAATATTTTCCCATGCGTGTAGTCGGAAGCGACAATTCCCATGCGCACGCTTTCAATTACAGACCTGCTTTAGGTATATATATACAGTACATATGCTATATGTAGCCATATAGCACAACGAAACGACACGAAACGTGCATACACACACTGTAGGCTGTAGCTACCAAATCCCTAGTTCAATTTATTAAAGATCTACAACATACGTTAGTAAAATAATAATATTACTCGTAGGTATCCGCGTCAGTGATATGGACGAAAGTGAAGGCTCATAAAAGAACACATGACAGAATACACACATCACAAATACACATGAGAATATATACATGTACAAGAATATATATAATGTAAAGAATAGATATTTATTCATTCGATATGTTTATCTACAACAAAAATGGCAAAAAAACAGAGATAACACAATAGGAATTATAAACCAAAATCTCTTGGCTTTAGATTCAATACATGCGTTACGTTTGTCTAAAGTAGACAAGGGATAAGATCCTATGAGGCAGATAAGATCCTATCAGGAGTGAATAATAAAAACTAATGCATCTATTCCCTGCTGATACTATGATAATATAGTTTGAATAACACAAAGTGACTACACATATGCATTTAAAATTTATATCCAACAAATAAATACAGTGCATTGGCTTGACAACATATATGACAAAACCTAACGAAAACTAAGATATTAGAATGACCAGCAGACAATTAACAACAAAGAGACACATACACATTATTACATCATATATACTTTCTTAGAATAAATACAAACATAATTGATATGTAAACATGGTAGTCAAACTAATGCAACCTAGCTACTACCTTTCTTTACACCAGTCACACGTTCTTTATTTAATCTGTGTACCACCCATAGCAGTACAGACTTCATCGTCGAAGTCACTTCCCCAGCCATCATCATCATCCCAGCGTGCATTATTGGTGTTACAGTTACTAGTACAGTAGACAGGATGATCGCAGGTATTCTGTAAATAATAGGGCAGCTCCTGCCGCCTGCTTCGTGTCCCATACCGGTGCCGATGCTGCCGTCCGATGGTGTCTCGCGATGGATGTCGGTGGCCAACGGCTCCGTTAGTCTGGCTGCTTGTTGCTGAGCTATTGCTGGAATCCAGATGGGGAGGTGCGGAGTTCAATGAATGAGTCAAAGGTTCACTGAGTGAGTACTCTGTATTATACGGCGGCGGTGGGCTGACCAGAGGAAGGCTGTCGTGACTGTTGGATTCGGTCGGATCTGCATGTCGCTCTGGTCGATACTGCATCACCAGCTGCTGGGCACGCAACACAGATGCTTTTGTAGCAATGTAGCCTTCATAGCTCATTAGATCAGTATTGGATAGGTTGATGTCGGGTATCTGAAGGCACACATCCCGCTGTGCACCAAATATCACTGTACACTTCTGACCAAGTTCAACAAATGCATCAGACAATTTGAGTAAACCCTGTCGGAACCGGATGAGTTTCAAAGATTCGGTCTCTATGACTTTCTCCTTGTAATCAATTTTAGCGAGTTCCTTTGCCCTTGATGTCTGTGTCAGTTTATACTGCAAATTGCGCATGTCATCTACCACAGCTTTTTTTGATATTTTTTTCATGTCCTTCTGGATGACACCCTCACGTTTCTCGCAGCTTGTGATGTAACCCTTTGCGATGCTCACTTGTTTCTCTCCATCGAGTATGGCTTCAAATTGGCACCTGAATTCCTTCAGCTGTTCAGTAAAGGAGTTTTGCACGTCAGTCCAAAGACTATTCAACGTGATGAGATGAGTTGCAACATCGTGCATAGCGTCACTCTTCTCGGCTGTAACCCATTTCACCAAGTCACTGACCATACAGTCTTGTGCAGCTATGAGGTTTTTTGAAGTTTGGCGTGTAATTCTCAACTGTGAGATGAGAAGGTTTAGATCCCCATTACCAGCACTCAGTGGCATGAGTTTCACACTGCCCCTACGTATAGCTTTACCCGCCATTGCTCCTCCGTTGCCCGCTTTTGATTCTGTAAGTAAAATTACAAAAATATTATAACTGTTAATAGTGTCCAACAGTGACACTGTGACAGTGTAACACTGCACACTATCAATGGTTAAGAATAGTGTCAACCTTCTTTAAAAAGCTGCAATGTATCACAAGATGGTACGAGTGTTTAGTCTCACAGCCACATTATGCTTAAATGTAAACCTGCGGGACAAACGCATCCAATCCATAACTATGGCTTGAGTACTACGAGTGGCCCTGAAACACTGAAGATCCTGTTTTGTTTACACTAACAGGCACACTGCATTCCTACCATGGGCCCAAAAATTAGACAGGAATATTCAGTTTGAACTTATATTTCATCTGACAGTGATATATATATGCACACATATACAACTGTAGGCAATTAGATTAGGTGAGAATTGAGTACTAGTACTAGTTTAGACCAATTTAGTCAGGGCCCCATCCACAGACACTTGGAGCGTTTCAATAAAATATAATGCTAAATAAATACGAAATCTATTTACTACCAAAGTCTTAATGTTTCTATACTTTTTTTCACCATTATTGCCGACAATTTCTTGCAAATGCCGTCCAAATGCTCATCTGCAACAAACGCTGGCTGCCGCTGCACACTGACACATAAATATATAGCACAGCAGGTAGGCCTAGGAAAGCGTGCTGCCAAAATTCGCTTGATGCTCGCTTGATTTCCCACGAATACAACACAAATATTCAACCATTCTACTCCATCTTTGTTTCTATTTGAAGGACAGTGTTCACTTGTTATAAAAACATACTGTCTGTGTTCGTAACCGAGCTGTGTCACGCGAAATCACATAAAACCTGACGAAATTCTTGCGTTCGCTTTCGTTGCGCTGTTTATGTAAATGGCTGTCAGAATCAGGAAACACCCACCGGCGCTCTTCGTGACCTCATTTTTGCCCCGCAACGCTGCAACGTTTTTGCAACGTTCCACTGGCGGCTTTGACGAGGCTCGTACGAGAGTTGGAAAGCAGCGTGATAGTTTCCTAAAATGCAGTGCGCCGCCTATAGCCCTGAACTTGCAGCCATTTACATAAACAGCGCAACGAAAGTGAACGCACGAATTTCGTCAGGCTTTGTGTGATTTCGCATAACACAGCTCGGTTACGAACACAGACAGTATGTTTTTATAACAAGTGAACACTGTTCTTCAAATAGAAACAAAGATGGAGTAGAATGTTTGAATATTTGTGTTGTATTCGTGTAAAATCAAGCGAGCATCGTGCGAATTTTGGCAGCACGCTTTCCTAGGCCTACCTGCTATATATTTATGTGTCAGTGTGCAGCGGCAGCCAGCGTTTGTAGCAGATGAGCATTTGGACGGCATTTGCAGGAAATTGACGGCAATAATAGATGAAACAAGTGCCGCATAGCGACAGCGCTCATCTAACGTC